GGGATTCTAGAGGTCACCCACTCCAGCCCCCTTGCTCAGTGCAGGAATTAGTCCACTACAGCACCCGACTGCTTAAAGGAGCACACGCCTTTAGTTTTAAAATGATTGGGGGGGAAGCATTTGCAGGAGACGTTCTTGTGGGGCTGCGCCTTTAAGAAGGGGGGCAGAGCTCCCAAAGCCCCACCGTAGCTACGGGCCTGGCAATTCACTGGCTATAGAAACTGTGGCAGTCTTCCTTGGTTGCGTAAGTGAAGCGGTATCTTTTGTTCCTCGTCACTTGCGTTCACAGTGGTGTCTCAACAAGTGTACCGCCTGAGGCCCACCTCCACCACTGCCACCCACTTCCTTTCCCCGCTGCCTCTGTTCAGAGCAGCTAACATACCTCACCTCCTCTTGAAAGTTTTGAGAAGCCCACCTGGGCATGCCCAAATTGTCGTGCTGTGTTTAAAGTTTCTTAGGGAGAGAAGGCTGTGTTAGCTACTCCAGTTCATGGGCAGGAGGGAACGAAGGGGCAGCGGTGGCACTTGAGGTAGAGGCCACTGGTCCTCTCAGAGCCACTCCTCCACATGAAGTCTGCTGGGCGACCTTGAGCCAGTCCCAGTTCTCTCAGAACTCTCTGAGCCTCACCTGCCTCACACGGTGCCTGTTGTGGGGAGCAGAAATGAAGGCAATTGTAAGCCGCTTTGAGATTCCATGAAGTAGAGAAAAACGGGGTATAAAAACAGAGTTTTCTCAGATCTGTGACTTAAGAACATAAGAGAAGCCAACGTTGGATCAGGCCAACGGCCCATCCAATCCAACACTCTGTGTCACACAGTGGCCGAAAATACCAGGTGCCATCAGGAGGTCCAGCAGTGGGGCCAGGACACTAGAAGCCCTCCCACTGTTGCCCCCCCCAAGCACCAAGAATACAGAGCATCCTTTGCCCCAGACTGAGAGTTCCGATCTATACCTTGTGGCTAATAGCCACTGATGGACCTCTGCTCCATATGCTTATCCAGTTCCCTCTTATAAGCTCCCATGCTTGTACCGCCGCCACCTCCTGTGGCAGTGAATTCCATGTGTTAGTCACTCTTTAGGTGAAGAAGTACTTCCTTTTATCTGTTCTAACCCGACCGCTCAGTGATTCCATGGAGTGCCCACGAGTTCTTGTATTGTGAGAAAGGTAGGAAAAGTACCACTTTCTCTACTTGCTCTATCCCATGCGTAATCTTATAAACCTCAATCATGTCACCCCTCAGCCGTTGTTTCTCCAAGCTAAAGAGCCCCAAGCGTTTTAACCTTTCTTCATAGGGAAAGTGTTCCAACCCTTT